GCTCTAATATTCCCCTTGCCCAAGTCTTACAATGTCAGGTTTTTTTCCCCAGGTTTCGGATCTCCTCCTCTCCTAATAGTTGTGTCGGCTGAGTAGCTAGCTTACTGAACACCGCATCTCATCCCCAGAGTGGTAGCACAGACAAGATTACAGATGTCACATTAGCCATTTCATATTTTAAAATTAATTCATATAGTTGTTGTACACAGTACAGTAAGGAATACAATTTGAAAATGATATTACCACTATTTTTTGAAAAAAATTTCATGTAGTTGTTCTTCCCACATACACACTATAAGCTTGTTTCGCTGACTTAGTAACCTCGTGTAACGCTTGATGCCTTAATAGCGTTTGATCGTGTATATAAAATACACAAAACGAGTAATGGAATTGTGAATTGCTCAAATCCTTGACGGGCAATTCACAATTCCCGTCAAGGATTTGTCTTAATATACCGTCGATCTGCTCTATCACTGTATTGTGTCTTAATATATACCGTCGGTCTGCTCCATCACTGTATCATTTTCAAATTGTATTCCTTACTGTACTGTGTACAACAACTATATGAATTAATTTTAAAATATGAAATGGCTAATGTGACATCTGTAATCTTGTCTGTGCTACCACTCTGGGGATGAGATGCGGTGTTCAGTAAGCTAGCTACTCAGCAGACACAACTATTAGGAGAGGAGAGAGATCCGAGCCTGGGGAAAAAAGCCTGACATTACGTAAGACTTGGATCAAGGGTAGATATTAGAGCCTGTGGGGAGAGGTTAAAGTTGCAAGAGAATCGAAGACTAACCCAAAAGGATTCTTTCAGGTATACAGAAGTAAGATCAGGGACAAGATAGGCCCACTCAAAAGTTCCTCGGGTCAGCTCACTGACAGTGATAAGGAAATGTGTAGAATTTTTAACACATACTTCCTCTCAGTTTTTACACAGGAGGATACCAACGATATTCCAGTAATGATAAATTATGTAGAACAGGACGATAATAAACTGTGCACTATTAGGGTCACAAGTGACATGGTCCTTAGGCAAATAGATAAATTAAAACCTAACAAATCCCCAGGCCCTGATGAACTGTATGCAAGGGTTCTAAAGGAATGTAAAGAGGAGCTTAGCACACCTTTGGCTAATCTTTTCAACATATCACTTTCAAACTGGCATGGTGCCAGATAAGTGGAAAATGGCAAATGTGATACCTATTTTCAAAACAGGTGACAGGTCCTTAGCTTCGAACTATAGACCAATAAGCTGACTCATAGTGGGAAAATTTATGGAATCAATAATTGCCGAGCAGTTCGTAGCCACCTTGAAAAGCTAAATTAATCAACGAATCTCAGCATGGTTTTACAAAGGGGCGTTCCTGCCTTACGAATTTATTAACTTTTTTCACTAAGGTAGTTGAGGAGGTAGATCATGGTAATGATATGATATTGTGTATATGGACTTCAGTAAGGCTTTTGACAGGGTCCCAATCAGAGACTGTTGAGGAAAATTAAAGCACATGGATAGGGAGAAATTTTTTCCTGGATAGAGGCATGGTTGACAAATAGGCAGCAGAGAGTTTGCATAAATGGGGAGAAATCAGAGTGGGGAAGTGTCACGAGCGGTGTTCCACAGGGGTCAGTGTTGGGCCCCTGCTGTTCACAATCTACATAAACGACATAGATGAGGGCATAAAGAGCGACATCGGCAAGTTTGCCGATGACACCAAAATAGGCCGTCGAATTCATTCTGACGAGGACATTCGAGCACTCCAGGAAGATTTGAATAGACTGATGCAGTGGTCGGAGAAGTGGCAGATGCAGTTTAATATAGACAAATGCAAAGTTCTAAATGTTGGACAGGACAATAACCATGCCACATATAAACTAAATAATGTAGATCTTAATATTACGGATTGCGAAAAAGATTTAGGAGTTCTGGTAGCAGTAATCTGAAACCAAGACAACAGTGCATAAGTGTTCGCAATAAAGCTAATAGAATCCTTGGTTCATATCAAGAAGCATAAATAATAGGAGTCCTCAGGTTGTTCTTCAACTCTATACATCCTTGGTTAGGCCTCATTTAGATTATGCTGCACAGTTTTGGTCACCGTATTACAGAATGGATATAAATTCTCTGGAAAATGTACAAAGGAGGATGACAAAGTTGATCCCATGTATCAGAAACCTTCCCTATGAGGATAGACTATGGGCCCTGAAACTGCACTCTCTAGAAAGAAGTAGAGTTAGGGGGGATATGATTGAGGTGTATAAATGGAAGACAGGAATAAATAAAGGGGATGTAAATAGTGTGCTGAAAATATCTAGCCTAGACAGGACTCGCAGCAATGGTTTTAAGTTGGAAAAATTCAGATTCAGGAAGGATATAGGAAAGTACTGGTTTCGTAATAGAGTTGTGGATGAGTGGAACAAAACTCCCAAGTACCGTTATAGAGGCTAGAACGTTGTGTAGCTTTAAAAATAGGTTGGATAAATACATGAGTAGATGTGGGTGGGTGTTGAGTTAGACCTGATAGCTTTGTGCTACCAGGTCGGTTGCCGTGTTCCTCCCTTAAGTCAATGTGGACCTGACCTGACTAGGTTGGGTGCATTGGCTTAAGCCGGTAGGAGACTTGGACCTGCCTCGCATGGGCCAGTAGGCCTTCTGCAGTGTTCCTTCGTTCTTATGTTCTTATGTTCTTATGTCTTAATATACCGTCGGTCTGCTCCATCACTGAATTGTGTGTCTTAATATACCGTCGGTCTGCTGTATTGTGTGTCTTAATATACCGTCGGTCTGCTCCATCACTGTATTGTGTGTCTTAACATACAGTCGGTCTGCTGTATTGTGTGTTTTAATATACCGTTGGTCTGCTCCATCACTGTATTGTGTCTTAACATACAGTCGGTCTACTGTATTGTGTGTCTTAATATACCGTTGGTCTGCTCCATCATTGTATTCTGTCTTAATATACTGTTGGTCTGCTCCATCATTATATTAGCTGGGGTTTCATGATGTCCATAAATGTTGCTGTAAATCATGTTGCCTTTAAAAAGTTTGTTATTTTTTTTTTTTTTTGGGGGGGGGATTTTGTTATCTTGTCGGAGGTGGCTTAGCATGTTAATGTATGACTGCATAAGATGAAGTTCCTTAACAACTGATACACGCAACATGCTGTATGAAACACGGATTTAGGGCTTCTTAATAATAATAATAATAATAATAATAATAATAATAATAATAGTAATAATAATAATAATAATAATAATAATAATAATAATAATAATAATAATAATAATCTACTCCCTGGCGTCACTCACCTTAGAAACCTGACGTACAAAAGCATCTCGTGGTTGTCGTGGGTGAGGGACTTTTGTCCAGACACGCCCTTCATAGTGAAGGTGGACGATGATCTGGTGGGGTAAACCCCTTCCACCTGGTCGCTTACCTTCAGGAGGAAATCCACAAGGATTCGGCGCCGCCAAGATCCACGGGCGCTTCTGGAAAAGGGCCAAGCCTCACAGGAACGGCAAATGGGCCGTTACCGAGGTGAGACCTGGGTTATAACGGAGTTACTTTGTTACTTAACGTTCCACTCAAGTATGAAGATTTCGGGACTATACTTCCTGATAAAAAAAATGTTTTAGTTCCCGATATTTACTTTCAACATTGTTGCAGATCACGTGATAAGTTCTTCATAAGGTATGTTCTTCTCTCACTGAAGATTGCTGTTACAAAAAACGCGATTCTAAAAGCTTACAGATCTCCAGTGAATACTAGAAAGGACTGCCCTTCTAGCATCCAGCCTGTTACTGGGTTTTCGTAACAAGTAGTCAGTATCCTTGTCCAATTATCCATTAAATTCAGTATGGTTCAATAATGCTTTAGGATTACAACTGGTAGGCTACTAACTAGAGAAATTAAAATTTAATAAATTTATTAAGTAGTAAGTTGTCTAGAGGTATATTATCAAATTAAATTAATTACAGCAATCAAAATAAAATCAATCTCTCGAGTTCAATATTATTGTGCTGAAAGCCATATCACATTTATAATTCTTAAGTACCGTCAGGTACATTAACATTTAATAAGATATTACAAATATGTACAAGTAAGTGTGTGTATGCGTATAAGTGCTCTTAAGTAGTTAGCTGTGTCTCAAGACTCGAATTAGACTTAAACAAGTGACTGACAAAGTCCTCAAATAAACTAACTTCTTGACTGACTGGCAACCCGAACAGTCTGCTTGAACAACAAAGAATGCTAAGCCCAATAGCAATGCAATATCAAGCGACTGCGACACAGAATCAGGAACAAGGAGACAATATAACGACACTAAGTAGGGACCATCTGCAGATCCTCCACAAGTTACAAAACTCCCATAAAACTGAATCTACGTTCAGCATAGGAAAAACTGTGACTGTGACAATACACAGGAACCAGTACAAAATTAGGTCAGAAGCTATAGCTCGGGACCTGAGATGTTCAGAGTGTCAATAGGACACACAACCTCAGTACAACGTCGAAAATCACAAAGTCTATACAATGTTCTGTGAACAAAGTTCTACAGAACTAACAAGAATAATGAGACAGACAATCTGTCCAACCAGCAAGCGAGTCTCCAGCAGACTGTCAGACAGACAAGCTGTCCAACCAGCAAGCGAGTCTCCAGCAGACTGTCAGACAGACAAGCTGTCCAACCAGCAAGCGAGTCTCCAGCAGACTGACTACTTCACAAGAGGTGAGGACACCCCCCCCCCTCGATCACGTGATAGCTACGTGGACAACTGCAGCTCAGAAGCCGGCAGTATAACGAGCGACAAGCGATAATTACAGTAGTTTGACAATCAAGCCTAACTGAGCACATTTTATATACATCCTAACAACATAAGCTAAATAACAATATAACAGTCAAATAATAATATAAAGTCATACATTTACGATTTAGCTATTATCGCAAATATAAGCAATATAAAATTAAATGAAAAGGTAATATACATTACATATATACATAATAATCATTGTAACCCATTCAGGGGTTGCAACAATTGCTAGAAAGCAAAACGCCTTGCAATACACGTAGTAACTGCTTGCATTATTTCTAGTTAGAAGTTTTATTTTTAATAGCTTCTGAAATCTTCAGTATAGAAAGATGTTTTACACACCTTATACTTTAGTTTTTTCTGCTACTGTATAAAGCAATGCTCCTTGCATTCATTGTATTCAGTTTAGACAGTTGTGAAGAGGGAGTCATCTCTTTTTTATTTCTCTTGCCCTCCCGCTCTACGATGATGCAGAAATCTTCATAAAAATTCCCTTTTTCCTGTGTATGGAACCGACTATCCTGAGAGAGACTGTAATTCCTAAACGAGAGTAACTCCAGCCAGGCTGGAAGGAAACTTTTAAGGCTACAATAGTAACCACATGTCTTTTCCTACAGGAGGAGTACCCGGAGGAGATCTTCCCACCGTTTGTTTTGGGTCCTGCGTACATCCTGGGCCGCAACGCTGTTGACCGCCTGCTGGCCTACATTTCTCACACTCCCTTCCTCTGGCTGGAGGACGTCTACATCACAGGACTTGTCGCTCATGCCGCAGGAATAAAACACGTCCAAGTAGACAAAGTCCTCTATACGAAGAAACTCACGAAGAAGCTGTACTCGGGCCAACAAGTTTTTTATATAGACGCCAGTGAGAAGAACAAAGCTGTCTCTTGGGCGAAGATTCTCAAGTACGCCCATGTACAAAAGCGCAGCAAGGCAAAGAAATGATGGCTGTCATTGCAATATATGATTTTACACTGCTGTAAGATTTGACACAAATTCAGCCAGGAGGCATCGACTTTCCATGTGTGATGGCCACTATGTGACAAGCAGTATCAGACAGCTCTAGTTAATATACGAGTCACACTGCAGGAAAAAAAAACTAAGGAAAACACTGCCAGTTATGTAAGTGTCCCAGACACATGAAGGACGCCCCTTAGTGCTTCAGATGTACGAAGGACGCCTTCTGGTTCGCCAAACATGTGAAGGACGCTCTCTGGTGCTTCAAACATATAAAAGACACCCTCTGGTGCTCCAAACATATGAAGGATACCTTCTGGTGCTCTAAATATATGAAGGACGTCTTCCGATGTTCCAAACATATGATGGACACCCTTTCGTGCTCCAAATATATGAAGAACGCTCCCTGATGCCCTAAACATGTGAAGAAAGCAGCTGTTGCCTCAAACATTTGTCTTCTGGAGTCTCAGGCTCACGTGCCCTGGAATGTTCTTGAAAATTGTTCAAGGTTTACGACTGTTGAATTATCGAAGTTTTAGTAGAGTTTAAATATAAAAATGCTTACCAAGATCTGTAACAAATATTATTTTTCTTAATAGTGATGGACATGATAATTGTGAAGAATATAATGTAGTTAATAATGTAGAATATAAGTGTCAGGGGCCCAAGACTGCTCAACTGCTTCCCAGCATACATAAGGGGGATTACCAATAGACCTCTGGCTGTCTTTAAGAAGGCACTGGACAGGAACCTAAAGTCAGTACCTGATCAACCAGGCTGTGGTTCGTACGTTGGCTTACGTGCAGCCAACAGCAACAGCCTGGTTGATCTGGCCCTGATTCACCATGAGGCCTGGTCACAGACCGGGCCGCGGTGGCGTTGACCTCCGAAACCCTCTCCAGGTATCTCCAGTGATAATGAATATGATAACAGTGGTGATGAATATGACGTCAATAGTAGTTTGACTATGAGGATAATAATGATGAATGATGAGATAGTGTTGGTATGATAATGGTGGTAACTAATATAATGTAAGTAGCCACGAATATGATGATATCAGTAACGATTATGACAATGATAATGACGAATATGAAGATCATTGTGGTGACGAGTGTATTAATGGTAATGGTAGTAGCAAAGATGAATGTTTTGTTAGTTGTAATGGTGGTGATGGTGGTAGTGGTGGTGGTGGTAGTGGTGGTGGTAGTGGTGGTAGTGGTGATGGTGGTGGTGATGGTAATGGTGATGGTAGTGGTGGTGGTGGTGGTGATGGTGGTGGAGGTGGTGATGGTGGTGGTAGTGGTGGTGGTAGTGGTGGTGGTAGTGGTGGTGATGGTGGTGGAGGTGGTGGTAGTGTTGGTGGTAGTGGTGGTGGTAGTGGTGGTGATGGTGGTGGAGGTGGTGATGGTAGTGGTAGTGGTGTGATGGTGGTGGTGATGGTGGTGGTGATGGTGGTGGTAGTGGTGGTGGTAGTGGTAGTGGTGGTGATAGCGGTGGAGGTGGTGATGGTAGTGGTGGTGATGGTGGTGGAGGTGGTGATGGTGTTGGTGGTGGTGATGGTGTTGGTGGTGGTGATGGTGTTGGTGGTGGTGATGGTGTTGGTAGTGGTGGTGGTGGTGTTGGTGTTGGTAGTGGTGGTGGTGATGGTGTTGGTAGTGGTGGTGTTGGTAGTGGTGGTGGTGATGGTGTTGGTAGTGGTGGTGGTGGTGATGGTGTTGGTAGTTGTGATGGTGTTGGTAGTGGTGGTGGTGGTGGTGGTGGTGGTGGTGGGTAGTGGTGGTGGTGGTGATGTTGGTAGTGGTGGTGGTGGTGGTGTTGGTGGTGGTGTTGGTGTTGGTAGTGGTGGTGGTGGTGATGGTGTTGGTAGTGGGTGTTGGTGGGGTGTTGGTGTTGGTAGTGGGGGTGGTGGTGATGGTGTTGGTAGTGGTGGTGGTGGTGATGGTGTTGGGTAGTGGTGGTGGTAGTGGTGGTGGTGTGATGTTGGTATGGTGGTGGTGGTGGTGGTGGTGGTGGTGGTGGTGGTGGTGGTGTTGGTAGTGGTGGTGGTGGTGGTGGTGGTGGTGGTGGTGGTGGTGGTGGTGGTGGTGGTGTTGGTAGTGGTGGTGGTGGTGGTGGTGGTGGTGGTGGGGGTGGTGAGGTGTTGGTAGTGGTGGTGGTGGTGGTGGTGATGGTGTTGGTAGGGGGTGGTGGTGGTGGTGGTGGTGTTGGTAGTGGTGGTGGTGGTGGTGGTGGTGGTGGTGGTGATGGTGTTGGGTGGGGTGTTGGATGGGGGGTTTTGGTGGTGGTGGTGATGGTTTTTGGATGGTGGTGGTGGTGGGGGTGGTGGTGGTGGGGGTTGGTTTGGTGGTGATGGTTTTGGGTTAGGGGGTGGTGGGGTGGTGGTGGGGGTTTGAGGGTGGGTGGTGGTGGGGGGTGGTGGTGGTGGTGATGGTTGTTAAAAAAAACCCTTTTATTCTAAAAGCTTAGAGATCTCCAGGTAACACTAGAAAGGACTCCCCTTTTTAGCATCCAGCCTGTTACGGGGGTTTTCCCGTAAAAGTTTTTTTTTTTTTATTTTTTTAAAAAACCAAAAAAATACAATAGAAAAAAAGGAAAAAAAACCAAAAAAGATGACAATTTATAACAATAACTAAAAAAACTTTTAAAATTAGATTTTGGGAAAAAATTAAGAAAAAACATAACTTTTAAAACAAATATGCCCACTATTCCTACTTATAAAATCAGAAAACCAAAGGTTTTTTTTAAAAACTGCCCCTATACTAGCTACTGTGGAAAAAGTTAACTTTCGAAAAAAAAACATAAAAACCTATTTTAACTTTTCCTAAAAATTAATCATCCTTCCCTTTTTAATTTTTCACTAGAATAAAAAATAAAAGTATACTTTCATTATTTCGAAACAGACTAAATTCCTTCGCCCCAGAGACGGAAAAAAATATAGGTTTAAAATTTAAAAACTAATGATGTCAAGAACACTCCAACAAAACCCTACCCCGACCATACAGGTCCTTTGAGAATTTGTCGACCCCACGCAGTTTCCTCCCCAGGTGTTCACATGTATTTACACATCGTACCTAAAATTAGTTTTAGTTTCCAAATTTTTAAATAATGCCATACTTGGGAAACATGTTTCCCCAAATTCGCCTAATAAAGACAGTTTGAATAAAAGAACATTCCACAATTATCAAAAATTTTACCCAAACCCTTTAACCCTTAGTTTTCCCCATCTGTATTATAAATGTCTAATCAACACGAAAATTTTACCACATACCCCAAAACCATTTTTGGGTTGGGTGTCCATAATACAACCTTGTTTTAAACATAAAGAAAAAAGAACAATAAAAAAGGAAAAACCCACTTTTCACCTTTAAAATCAAAATTTTTAAATTTTACCATTATTTACATACTTTAAAAAAAAAATTTATAAAGTATATTAAAAAATTTGAACACAATCATTTCCCAAACTTCAGTTAAAAATATTACGTCAACTAACCACAAATTTAAACTTAATCCATTTTTTACAACTTAAAGGGGTTCTTTAAAACCCCTTAAAACTACATACATATTGAACATTAAAATGGTATAAAATACCGACAGGTTGTTAGGAAAAGACACTTATGCAACAGTTGGGTATCTTTTTTTCGAAACGTTTCCCCTAAAAACGTAGGCTTCTTCAGTCGAGAAACAAAAAGTTGATAAAAAGCAAAAGAGACTTAAGACGATGAAATTTCAGTCCATCCCCCTTTAAAATTTTTGAGGTGGTCATTTCCCTCAGTCTGGAAAAAAGACTGACCCCCTTTAAAAAATTTTAAAAGGGTGAGGGGACTAAATTACATCGTCTTAAAGGGTTCTTCTGCTTTTCAACTTTTCTGTACTCGACTGAAAAAGCCTACTGTGTGGCGAAACTTTTTCGAATAAAGATACCAATTTTTGGGCAAAATTTTGTCTTACCTAACTAAAATCCCTTTGTTTTTGCCACCACCTAGAAAAATTAAAAAGAAAAAAAATCCCTCAAATATTTTCAAAACACACTATGCTTCTTTTGACACCAAATCAATTGTCCCTTACAAAAACAATTGAAAATTAAACTGAAAATAAAAAGCCATTTTGCCATTTACACATTGTATAAAAAATCAAAAAATACCCCTTTAAAAAAATCTTATTAAAAATATCATTAAAAAATGTTCATGAAAAAAAACCTTTTTTTGGGAAAAATACAAAAAAAGTAAACATACATACATATATATAAATAATATATATATATATAAAATATATAAATATATATATAAAATATAAAATATATATAAATAAAAATTTATATATATATATATATATATATATATTTTATATATACATATACATCCCATACCCACATAATACACTTTGGATACATATACACATATCCCACACAACATACATATACATACAAAATTTTATAAGTAAAAATTCCAAAATAACTGTATTGAAATTTAAAACCCACCAGAAAAAAAAATTAATTTTAAAAAATTGCACCCCGGAACATCCCTCATATAACATTCACCCCAAACCCTCATCACGCTACCGCCCTTTCTAAAAACCATCCATTTCCCCCCCTTAAACCTCCCTTTCAACTCCCTTTAAAATCCGTAATGGGGAAATTTTTTTATAACCCTCACTTAAATCCCCCCTCCCATCCCCCCCCATACCCCTTTTTCCCTACATTTTGGGTCCTAAAAAAAAGTTGCTGTTAAGCATTAATTTTTTCACACCCCGTTCGCCCCCTCATACCCAAAAGACTATAAATATAATCCTAATTATATCCCCTACCGCTTTTCTTTTACCATTTGATTCCCCCACCTTTTCTAAGTTTAAAAAACCCTCAACACCTGCAAACCCCCCCCCCTCCCACAAACCCCTTATTACCTTACCCCAACCAAACCCTTATTATTCAAAACTTTCCCGAAAAATACCCCTTAGGGAAAAAACGGGTCCCCAATCCACCACAAGCCTTGCATGCCCCCACCCTTTCCCGTTTTCTCTTATGGAATAAAACCATTCCAAAAGGGTAAGACCCCAAAGTAAAAATCTATACATAACTTCTCGTACTTTAGGTTTTAAAGGAAAATTTTAAAAACCCCCCCAGAAAATTACTCCAATCTACATCGGAAAAAACCCCTTCTCCCATCCCTTTCCCACCCAACCCCATAAAGGGTTTTTCCCAAATTTTAATATGTAAAAGGATCGTTCATTTTTTATGATGCCCCTAACATTCCCTCACCTTTTATGAACCCCCTACCCACCCACCACCGTTGCATATCCGGGGACGTATTTTATGAATCCGCCTTCCCCCCCTCCCTCCCGTTTATAACAAATTTTCCAAATAACACTCAAAATCCTCTTTTCAACGCTTTAAGCCCCAGCCCCCCCGGGCCAAACCCGGGGAGTGGGGACAACCGCTTCCTACCTTTTCGCTTCCAGTCCCCCAAATGAATCAAAAAAACGCGTTTTTTGAAACCCTTTGTTTCTCGCTACGAAGTATCTGATATTTTGCTGTACATGCCAAAGTTTACTTTTATAAAGGCCCATTCGTTTTT